TTGTTGCATAAACGTGGTAAGCTGGTTGTTCATTTCGTATCGCTATGAGGAGGCACAGCAGTGAGATCAAGTAGCCCCTGTGTCTTTTTTTCAAGTTAGCGTAAAAGATGAGATTAAACTTCTAATACTCTCGCAGAAACGCAGAGGAGAGGTAAAGCACTGGTTAACTCCTATGCAGGCAGCAATACCACTGAAGAGCACAGTGATGAGATCTGTGACTGCGGTGTGCTTTGTCGCTGAATATGAATCTTCGTTGGATAACAGAAGATTTGCAAAGTGCCAACTCTTTTGCTTTGTTCAGTGCAGATTTTGCTTCTTGCCATTTTGAAGCAGCAAAACTGCGAGATAGACGTCATAACAAAAGTGTGCTCCCAAGACTCTCAGTTTACCTTTTCGCATGTCACCTATACCCATACTCGATTCCTCTTGCTAATTCACTGAGCTATAGATCCTTAAATTCTCGCTTGTATCCGTCTGAAATCTTACTAGCTACTTCATAAACGACCACCATTCACTTCTTTCTTCTGCAGTGCATATTTTTCCTTTTTGTCCATCTCAACAATTATTCTTCCAACGCTCGTTTGTTTATGGTCGAAAAGCCCAAACAATGCTTTTTGTTACAGAAACGGGGCGTCTCGACCAATCCCAACGCCCTAGTGCGTCCGATCAATTATCGATTTTTCGTGTCCCGCACACGCGTCGACACCTGTACAGCGGGAGTATCGATCGGTTCTACGCGCATGGCGCGCGGTCCGGCCACGCCAAACTTTAGCCCCGCCCTCATTTTACTTATCACAATTCCAGGTGAACTATAATCATTTGTTAGAAATATCAAAAAGGAGAAGTTCTAACAAAAAGTTCGTTAAGGACTATAACCTAATCAGGAATGCACGACCAATTACGAGTAACAGTTATTTCCAATATAAAGCAGAAATTCTGTATGAATCTATGTGTATGTATGTTTGTATGTATGTTCTGCAAACAGTTTTGTTTCTGAACCAACTCTGCACACAACATTTTGCACGCCGGCGGGCAACTTAGGCTACTTTATACAATTGTTACTCGTCTGGCGGCGTTGATTCGCAAATTCCTGGACAATTAAGTCATTTTTTGAAAATGAAGTGATTTAGTCATGATCAGACTATTTGAAAAAGATGTAAATACATATATTTTCTGGTGGAATTGCATTGAAGCGGAACAGTTGCTTATGAGGATTAGCAGTAGGAGTCAGAATACAAAGATACTTGTAGGGCAAGCATCTAAGTTGTGCGCGTTTTTCGTTCAGGTTCAAACTTGCAGGTTGTACTCAGAGCATCAAGGCTCTTAAGTGGAAATAGTCGAAGGCTGCGGTTGCTCATTTAGATTAGCAATAAA